GAATTGTTTCTCTTAAAAAGTTGGTTGATTTTGCAAAAGAACACCACCAAAGAAGAAAAGTTCCATCTTACGCAGCTAAAAGTCTTCCAGGAGATCCACAACATTGAAAAGGAAACCCTCTTCCAGGAAACTTTGGCTGTACAGGACAGGTCCAGTATTGAGAAGAGAAAACTCTGGAAACTGGACTTACAAGAAAAGCTCACAATTAGCCCTACACAAGAGCCCACTGTTGATACAGAGACTCATTTCAAGGAGTCCCTGGCCTTTCAGGAGGAACTTAGAAGTGAGAAGGAGAAACTCCTCAGAGGGTCCTTGGATTTTCAGGAGAAGCCCCCAATTGTAAAGGAAGTGTTCTTTAAGAAAACTCTGGCCTTGTCAGAGGAGACTGCTATCAGTGAGGCATTCTTTTTCAAGAACATATTAGCTTTGGAAGAGAAACCCACCATTGGGGAGCAGTTTTCCTTCAAGGATCATGTACACTTACAAGAAAATACTGCCATCAAGGAAAACATTTTTCTCACAGCACTCCGAACCTTACAGGGTGAGACAAACCCTCATCTGTTCAGCACTGCCACTCAATTTCTGAAAGGCAACACTGCTACAATGTATACTGCAGACACATCCGATGTATGTGAATCCAGTTGTAATAAATCTTCACCTCAGGAAAAGATAGCACAGAAAGAGGTATTCTTTATTTTTCACGTAAATTAGGTGAAGTATTCTTGTTCTGAAATAAAGACTAACAAAACAAAATTTTATTTAATTACTTACTGTATATACTTAAGTAAGCCGAGTTTTTCAGCACATATTTTTATGCAGTTTTGTGGTAAAATTAGGTGTCTCAGCTGATATTTGGGTTGGCTTATACTTGAGTATATACGGTATTTAGGCTTTCCTGAGCAGTTGGACTATATATGGTAGAAGATCCCATCTCCTGTCTTTGTCCATTGGAGTAGCTGGTGATTTCGAATGGCTGACTTTCCTGTTAGCAGCCCATTGTGTAACCACTATGCCAACAGGGCTCCCTTAAACTGAAATAATAAAAGAAAAATACCTTTCTTGGAGATTCTAGAACTTTAGGAAATGTGCCTAGGAACAGAGTAAATACTATTATATACACAACTCTGTAATAATCCTACTGGCAATCCTGTGAATAGATGCATAGATAGGCACAAAGGCTAAACAGGTGTGGGAGGGGGAGTGGGAATATGCCCAAAAATATACAGAGATTTGACAGGATATTTGTACATGGCTATGTTGCAAATATATCCATGAATATGGTAGAGTATGCAGGGATCAAGTTATGAAATTTTTTTATACATAACCAAGCCATTTAAGGAATAAGTCACTGGACCTGGAGGATCAGGATCATAGTCTTGGGGGACAACAAGCTCAATTGGCATAACAGAGTCCACAAAGACAATGCTTCACAACCTACTTGGTTGAGTAGTGACCAGGATCTTAAAAGCTCATGAGCAGCCTTCTAACGTGCAGCTATTTGTCTCTCCTTGTTTGCAAAAAAGAAGAGTAATGAAAATCAAAGATCCTCATGGCCCTTGTGAATATCAGTCTCCATGATCCTGAGACTAGGAGACCCAGGTGGTGCCTGGAAACCACTACCAACTTCTCTGAAAGTGATTACATCTGAAGATTCTGGATAGAGTGGGAAAAAATGTGGGAAAAACCTCAAAATTTTAAAAAGACCAGACTTGTCCATAGTCTTGGAACCCCCAAGACTATGACCTTTAATCACCCATCAGGTCTGGAAATAGTTCAATCCCATGGCTCAATTTTCAGTGAAAATAACACTATTGAAGTGTGAATTCTCTTGAATAATCAACCATTTGATCTTAAAAGGGTGGCATGTGCTGAAGAAAAATTTCAGAAAGTTTAGAAAAGAAGGAGGAATGGAAACATTCACTGAGAGGAAGTGAAAAAAATAATATTAAATTGTGAGCATGGAAACCAATAAGATAAAATGTGTATGAATTGCTGAGTAGACAACTGATTTGTAACAACCCATTGTCTCATAACAAACTCATAACAAACAGTTAAGTAAAAAGGGCAGGGTAGCTGGTTCTTAGGGTAGGATAGGAATGTACCCGGAAGACTAGGTATTCCTTTATCTACAGACAGAATGAGGATTTCAGGCTCAAAGGTTATACTGGTATGACCCAGAATATATGAGGCTTGAGGAACTTTTGCAAAAGATAGTAGGGAGAAAGATGTTATTATTGATATGCATATGTTAAACCTTCCTTGGAATCTTTTTCCTCCTAAGACACCCTTTTTGGTGATTTCCAAGCAGATGACCTCACCAGAGGATATTGACAAGGACCACAGTGATCCATTATTCAACTCAATATATGCCAAAGATATCTTCAGTTACATGAAGGAGAGAGAGGTATGTAAGTGACATGGAAGACCAGTGCTTTCTAGTGTTCATTTCTTCAAACTTTTTTTTAATATGCAAGTTGAAAAAGAAGGTAATAATGATGAACATAGCAATAATAGGACCTAACATCTACTGGTGACTTGCTATGAGTTCAATATTGTGCCAAGGGATTTATAGATATTATTTTGTTGAATTCTCCTAATAGCTTCATAATGATTGCTATTCTTAATATCCTACTGCTCCAAGTCACACAACTAGTAGGTAGTAGAGCTAGCATTTCATCTGATCTAATTATTTTGAAGATCATAAGACTGCATCTTTAAGTACTGAGTAAAGAAAGACAAAAGTGGTTAAGTAGTCTCTATAAGTTGCTGCTCTCAGAGATCTTTACACAAATTTCTGGCATTGTTTGTTTTTTCACACCCTTTGTTTCAGCTCTCCAACCTGTGAAGTTTTCTCCGTTGAAATATGCTAGTCTCATTTACTACTAATATTCATCAATTTGAAAATTTCTTCAATTTTTGACAGTGGAACAGATGGAAACACATGCTAATCAGGATTTTAACAAGCCTTATATACAAGAAAACAAAAAAATAAATCTACTGTCATTGAGTTAATTCTGACTCAGTGATTCTATAAGGCAGAATAGAACTGCCCCTGTGGGCTTCTGAAATTGTAAGTCTTTACAGGAGTAGAAACCCTCATCTTTTCTTGTAGAGCAGCTGGTGGTTTTGAACTGCTGACCTTATAGTTAGCAGCCTTTGCATAAACCACTACACCACCAGGGCTTTGTGTATATAAGGAGAGAAAGTGTATATCTAGTCTTCTCTTACTAGAGAGTACAATTTCCTGTCTGACTCCAGAGCCCATGTGTTTTCTAGTATACTTTGCAGGACGTAAGAGACAGTCTTGTCATTCTGAAAATGTGGACCTTGGCTGAACAGTGTGGATTTCACTTGGAATCCTGTTATTGTTGTTATTGTTCTTGTGAAGATCCAGAGTTGGTTCGGACCCACAGTGACCCCATGCACAACAGTACAAAACACTGCCTGGTTCTGCACCAACCTCACATGCTTGAGTCAATTGTTGCAGGCCATCTCATTGAAGGCTTTGCTATCTTTCACTACCACTCTACTTTACCAAGCATAATGTCCTTCTCCAGGGACTGTTTTCTCCTGACAACATGTCCAAAGTACATGAGATGAATTGTCACCATCCTTGCTCCCAAGGAGTCCTCTGGCTGTTCTTTTTCCAAGACAGATGCTTGTTTGTTTTTAGTAGTCAATGGCACTTTCATATTCTTTGCTAGCACCATAATGCAAATGCATCAATTCTTCTTCAGTTTTCCTTATTCAGTGTCCAACTTCCACATTCGTATGAAGCAATTGAAAATACCGTGGCTTGGGTCAGGCCTGCCTTAGCCCTCAAAGTAAAATCCTTGCTATTTATTCTCTGAAGAAGTCTTGTGCAGCAGATTCACTCAATGCAGACACCTAGTGCTAACTCAGACCTTCTGCATCACAATCTGAAGTTTTTCAAGATCCGTAAGTAGCACATATACAGATTAAAGTTCAGGAAAAACTTATCTACAAAGTATAATGCTTTACTTTACAATGTATTGCACAGAAGTGGAAGAACCTTTCTGCCATCTATCTATCGCCATATGTGTACTTGTACTTACATTCCCTCTGGACTTTTAAGTATTTTCCAAAGCATTTGAATACCATATGAATCCATTTCCCAAGGAAAGCTTTTTTTTAAAAAAAGTACATTTTTTTAATGTACTCCTCTTCAAGGAGCCTGGTGTCAGACCTAACTGAAAATTCAGTAATTTGAGCCCACCAGCGGAATTTCTGCTCATGTAAAAGTCTTTGGCCTCTGAAACTCTAGGAAACCATTTTAATCTGCCTTATAGTATCACTGTAAGTTAAAATTAACTTGATGGCAGTGGGTAGATGCCCCTCTCTGGCACCAGCTGAAAATAGTGAGTTAACATCATGAAAACCAAAACCAAATTCACTCTTGATTTCTGTCCTACAGAATGGCTGGTAGTTTCAAACTTCTGACCTTGTAGTTAGTAGCCCAATGTGTAACCACTATGCCACCAGGGTTCCTTTAGAATCATAAAGGAGAAGTTAATTATGTTAAGTTACAGTTTTCAAATTACAAGAATTTTTTCATTCACATTTTCTTATTGATGACAGGAGAAATTCATAATTAAAAAATATATGAACAGACAAACTGACATCAACAGTGACATGAGGGCCATTCTTGTGGACTGGTTGGTAGAGGTACAGGTAAGCATAATAATTGCTGCTTTAAGGAATTCGAATTCTGTTGATCAGTTTTTCATTCAGCACCTCTAGTTGTCAAACATGGTAAACATTTTCTTGATAGCCAGAGCTGAATAAGATGTAATTTATAGTTTCAATTTTTATAATCTAGAGGACAAAATATTTTAACTTTGTTTTCTACATTTTTAAATAACCAGAATATAAGCTTGAAATTTTTGGTATATTTCTATGGATTAAAAAAATTGTTTTGAAATAATGGATACAAAAGAGGTTGCGAAATAGTGCTGAGTTGGTCTGTGAACCCTTTACCCAGTTCCCCCAGTGGTAATATTAGGAACTTGACATTCATATAATCCACAGACTTTATTTCAACTTCACCAGTTTTACATGCTCGCATTTGTATGTGTGTGCATGTTTCATTTATGTAGTTTTATCACATGTGTATATTTGTATAATCACCATCACACAGGACATAGAACGTTTCCATTACTACAGGAATCCCTGTATTACCCTTTTATAACCACAAGCATCTCCCTCCTTATATTTCCCCCATCTCAAGTAGCAATTAATGTCCTTCGTCTTTACAATTTTGTCATGTCACAAATGTTGTATAATGGAACTGTACAATATATCTTTTAAAAAACAGCTTTATTGCCATATAATTCATGTACCATACAATTCAGTGGTTTAAATATATATTCTTTAAAAATTATGCTATCATCACCACAATCAATTTAGAATATTTTCTTCATTCTTGAACTCATTATTATTAGCTGCTAATTACTTCCTGTGTTAGACTGGGTTGACTAGAGAAACAAATCCAAGGACATGCATATGAGTATAAGAAATAGAGCTTTCTGTCAAAGAGCAATTGGATATTGAGAACACATCCTAACCCAGTCCAGATCAAGTCCATAAGTCTGATATTAGCCCATATGTCTGATAGTAGTCCATAAATCCTTCTTCAGACTTACGTTGCCACTCGCAATGATGCCGAATACAGGAAGATAATAGTCCAGTGAGTAACAATCTTGTGGATGTAGTGGCAGTGGAAGCCTCTCAGGGTTGGTGCAGGTTTCCACGTGACTCCTCTAGCTCTCTGGGTGTCTGAACAGCAGGAAGGTGAAGCAGAGAGAGGGAGAGCCTCTTCTGTTGGCAGTATCAAGAGAGGGGAAGTTCCTAGAGTCCTCTTGAGAAGGTCACATCCACAAAGAGCCACCATCAGGCTGTGACCTGAATGACAGGCTAGACTCCACACTTTCACTCTTAATATCCTTAAGTTGACACGAGATTATGTAACTACCACAGACCACTCATTGTCAAATTGACACTTTTACACAACTGAACCTATAAAACTATATGACAAGTCTAAGGGTTTCAGGGGTAGGGGGGCACCGTGGTGGTGGCCGGGGGAAGGGGAGATGATTTCAACAAGTCCATGTAGATTAAAAATGTCTGGAAACT